AGATTTTAAAAAAAATTATCGTCTACGTGCATAAAAGGGTTATGTATTCTTCAAGTCAAACTGTATACATAACATAATCATTGCACTTATAGTATACAATATTGTTTATTACTTTGAGAAATGCAATAAATATGTTATGTATAAAGTTTGCATTAAAAAATATATAACCCTTTTAAGCACCCAGTGGATCAATTATATAAATTACTTACAGTTAGATTTTTATAAATATTGAAATTATTGAATTGTTTGATACAATATTAATTTGTTGAAATCAAAAATTAAATTGGTACAACTACATAATATTTATGTGCTAATTATATAATAATAGTCATATATAAATATAAAATCAAACTGTAACTTTTATTAAACATATTTTAAATTACATGTCGAAATATATTTATTAAACATTAAACGCAAAATTATAAATCAGTTTGCATCGGTTCTGTACTCGGTACTTTATCAATCATTGTATTAGGATCATTTTCAGTATCAAATTGTTTAGGATAAATATTGTTGTTATCCTGGTAAATTTGGGTTGACATTCCGGGAGGTGGGTTTATTAATGAGTGTGGTGAGCTAGAACCATTACCCATATTTTCTATGCCATATTTCCAACCAATATTATCCGGGCTTAGTGATTTAGTAATATCATTGTTGTGATTGTTTATACCACGACCATTTATTGGCAAATCATTCGCATGGTTACCATTATTAATAAAGTTAGGTTTAATTGCTTGCTCACATGATTTGAGTTGGAATTCCAAAATACCCACATCATTAAATAACTTTTTAATTCGATCACGGTAAGTATCCCGTTCGTTGTACCAGGTTAATTTTTCTTTATTCAAATCAATGCACCTTTTGTTCAATAAACTTACATGCTCAATTAGTCGAATATTCTCGTTATTAACACTTGTAATATGAGCATTGAGCTGGCTTAGCTTATGGGTTAATTCTGTAATCTGTTTATCATGCTCACATTTTAATTTATCAATTAGTTTACCCTGGTTACCGGCAACGCTATTTGATTTTGGTTCAGTAGTTTTTACCTGTTCATTTAACTTAGGTGATGAGTTTTGTGAGCTCTCATGTATTTTAACAACTGTTTGATTTATGCTTTTATCAGGATAATTTTTATCGTCCACTGGTTGATCGAGTATAATTAAATCTGCTAATATAAACACGATCATTTAAATAGTGTTAAATTATTATTGAAAAGTTTATTAAATAAAATGTTTTTTATCTATCATTTAATATTATAATTGATACTTTAATGTGTAAATTATTTATAAATTACCTTGCTCATCTACTTCGCGTTTAAATATAGGCTTCAATAATTGCATTTGAGGTACGAGTGCCACCACATCATCCCTCACCGGTAAGACCACACTATAGTGATCCCTACCGTTATAGTACAGTAGTATGGGTTTCGCCCCAACATTGGCCTCATCGGCGATATACCGGAAATGGTTTTGAATGGTCTGCCGTTCGTAGGCATCCTTGAGCTCCGGGTATTGTTTTGGGGACTTTGTGTCGAATGCTAAGCGTAGAGACCAGTAGCTATATATGGGTCGATGCAGTGCTAATGAAAGGGCCATAACATGTAGCTCATCGCCCCATACCTAATAATATTATTATCATTGTAATTTTTAAAAATTAATGCAAATGTTTATAGTGACACTTTACAATTACATGATAAAGTAAATGTTTTAATTTATTTCAAGGAAAATACATGTAACACTGGTCAGCCTACCTGCAAGTCCATAGCTGCTCGAACTAGCCCATCAAACGACAACTCGTGATTATAACCGTACTTAACTCGCTGATCGTGCATGTACTTTTCAAAAACATCTTGGTGCTTTATCAATGTAGTAGCCGTAATGACTCTCAATGACTCCATACGAGAATAATCCCCGTAGAGGGCGGTACTGATGGAGTTCCACAAACAGTTACCATCACCTCGTATATGGACGCACACTAGCTCCCCCTCTAGAGCATCATGCACAAATTGAGATTCCAAGTCAGGGGAATGAACATCAGTGTTATATTTGACCAAGGTAGTCTTGGTGGTTAGTTCCCTTTCGATTCGACGAATGTGATCACCAAAAAACTCGAACAAATTGTTCCAGGGTATTTTGTTCACAGAATACTCGGTTACCTTAGCCACGTACAAAACTAACCTAGACGTATCGTTCAGGTCCTTATGCTGTAAGTCACTTATCTGGCACGTATCAAATATGGTGCTACCGGTGGTGGTTTCGTATTCACCAAGCGACTTTTTAATTGCCATTAATTTCTCCGGTGTGTATAACTCGGTGCAAAATATCCGGTACAGTTTTTCTTGAAGTTCTGCTTTAGCAGTTTCTATAAGTTTATTCTTTGTTTCCCTTTCCGTTTCTAATCTCCCTGTTAAAATTATGTTAGATCAGTTTTATTTAATTTATTAATATACTATTTAGGCTAGCAAATATATTATTCAATTAATTTATGGGTTAAATTTGAATTGGCTCACGCTTATTATCCCATTCGCTTTGCATCTTGCTCAATTGCAACGTTTGCTCCAGTTGTAGGTCATAAGTGCCCTGATCATTCCCGATATTATAATCTGATTCAGGCCCGTGTCCTAGGTTAAATTATAGCATTTTTTACTAATAAATTTAAAATCTTTTATTTCACTAATCTGGAACGTTTTTAATAAATTCTAATATAATCTTTGTAACTGAATAATGAATTATATTAAAATTTTCAAGATATAATTACGTTCATTAGCCTTTTCCCTCTTAGCAACTTGTAGTGCCTGTTCATAACGTTCCCGATCATCCCTGTCCACACGTTCCCGTACAGCCCGAACGTTAACGGTATCTGTGTATGTTTTACCTTGCGCATATTTCCTATTATCGGTAACGCCATACGCTATGTTGCCTTCAACATGATAGGTTACACATTTGCCAATTGAATGGGTAATTAAATTACCAGGTACATGGTTAACGAGATCGTATGTTTCATACACTGGGGTATCGTATTGATATAATCCAGGTCCTATATTAGCAAATATTTTTATAATTTTAAACAATTATAAATCTATCATAATAACTTTTACCTGTAGGACCTTTAACACATTTACAAGATTTCGAAGTTTTTGGATTTATAATTTTCTGTCTGAATTATAATAAAATTAGCATGTTACTACAATGTAACAACAATGTTCAAAATAATATAATTCAAAATAAAGTTTTAAAAATCAATTAAATAGTAAATTACTTTAACCAATCGTTTATTGGCAATGTGTTATTCAATAAGTATTAACTAAGAAATACATTTTGTACGTACTTATTGAATGACCCCTTACTTAGTTTAAAAAAAATTAAATATATAAACCACTAATAATAATAATTAATTTATAAAACTTACACAGCAACTTTGAACTGTTTGTTAAAGAGATTATTAAACTCTAGCAAATAAAATAGGTCATTTAGTAAACATAATTATTTAAAAATTAAACTTTAATTTAGTAAATACCTTTATCGTTAATATTAATATTGTTCATTTTACCATTCATGGTACTCGGGTTAAATATTATACGGTGTTGTATATTAGAGTAACACTTTATAATGCTATTTATCATAAAATATTTTTATTTCAATAATAAATGTTGTATATTTAATTTATATTGATATGTTTAAAATAGTCAGTTGTACTGTAGTTTGAAATGCTAATTGACCGTTATAATAGTAATATTAGATAACAAAATGATTTCATTTGAAATATATTTCTACAAACTACTATCGCTATATAAAAGTTCATATACAATAAACAATTTAACAAACTAAAAATATAAACTACATAGTTATCTTTGTTAGTAAAATATTTTTAAATTTTCATTACAAACTTGTGTGTTATGTAATACAATCATTTGTTGCTAGATAGTAAATTATTTCCGTTATTTAACTTGTATTGCATTTTTCATAGCAAATATTATCAGATTTATGTCATAATGAATAACATTAATGCATAATATCACATAAATAACTAAAAATAAATATTTTATTATATTCCCACGAGAATATTAATACAAATCTGGAGTCTGTAATGATTACTATATTTAATGGCAATAAAAATTATTCACGCTGATAATTATGTTTATAAATAATATAAACATAAATGAAATAATTTTGTCATCATAATTATATCATACACTAAATGATGATTCATTTAAAACAGTAATTTACTTGTTCATCATGAAAGTAATAATTATTTATAATTTTAAATTACTTATAGCAATTTTAACTAAGAAATACATTAATAATAATATTTTAACACAAAAGCAAACATTTTATAATTAATTGATCAGTGTAGCTTTTATATTAGCTTACATAAACCTTATATTAATGTATTTTGAAAAATAAAATTTAAAAATTATTGATAGACTCGGATTTGAATTGAAATTCAAACTATCACTAAAAATAAAATCATATCTGATATTACTGTACATAATGTTATGTATACAAAAAATAAATTAAAATTATTTCACTTAATGTACAAAGTTCGTATACATACATTTCTAAAATATTAGTCATTTAAATGTTTATCTAATATTGGATAAGTGTAATTTAGAAATTATAAATAAATGAAATATTAATTTAAGTATATATTTTTAAAGCTATAATATACTATTTTAAAAAGTCAATTTTCTAGATAGATACATAATTTGTACATGCATCAGCTAATTTGTTATATTATTTGTATATTTAAATAATAATATTATTGAATTGACCCGCTACCTTTACTAGTAATAAAGTGTCATAACATTTTATAAACATTTGCATTTCTAATGTTTTATTGATTTTGAAATTAAAAGTCTGTAATAATTATAATATTATTATGTCCAACTCAAATAATGATCAAGATTCATATTACAATTATGAACATGACCTTGAACAGAGGGAGGAAGCTTTATTGTGCGTGGTCAGACTACAAGGCATATTAGCTAGTAAGTAGAAAAGTAATTTAAATTAAATATTACAAGTATTCTACGCCAATTATAATAAATTATAATTATTATATTATGTTAAATAGTAAAAATATTTGTTTCATTAACTACATTAATTTTATTAACTTGGTACTTTATAGAGATTAGAGAGCAACGTGATCTAAGAAAGGCTTTAGATAGGAGTTTGCTTGATCAATCAAATGTTGCTTCAGGGATCACCACCGGGGATAATTCATTTAATAATGAACATGGTGGCGATATACCGCAAACAACTTCTAGTACACATAATGAACAACAAGTTAAAGTTTCAAGTAAGATTTATTATTTAATATAAAGTCTAAATAAAATGTTTTTTGATAATGGGTCATTCATTAAATAGGTACTACAACTGATAATACTGTGAACCAAGATGATGTGATTGTTGAAAATACTCAAGATGAGCTTGATGATAATTATCATGCCGGTAATGGTAATTAATTAATCAAAGGTACATTAGTAATAATTGAGTTTATTATGAAAATTATCCTAGATTATACCAGTTTCATTAATATCACGTTGGATAGTGCATTGTAAGTAAAAATACATATAATCTAGACAATTAATTACAATATTAATATATTTTGCTTTATATAGAAACACTAAATTAAAAATTATTGATCAAGGTTAGAAAACAAGTATATATTTATGAGATAATAAATACAATAATGCTAATTGTTCTAGACGAATTTACCGGAATATTTGAACAACAATTTTATGACAGCATTCGCAGACCGTAAATAACAATTTTGTTTCAAATTAATTTGTCTTGCTAAATTTAAATAACATTGTTTATGTATCTTATTTTTAGTAAGACTAAACAACGACCAGGCATCCCAGGTAAAAATCTCTTAATACGCAATTTTAATTAAAACATTTTAATTATTTTTTTATAGTTGCGTTTCGGGAAAATATTCAGACTCAGCCACAAATTAATGAACCTGGTCCATTAAGGCGAGTAATAGACCTATTTAAATACCTTGTGTGAGATTAGGTTAGGTTAGTTTATTTATGCTTACAATGCATTCCTGTGAAATGTTTACGCTAATTGTAATTAAAATCGATTAAATTATACTCGTATTATATGGTATAATAATAATATCCAGGTCCGGTGATCTAGCGCAATATTTTCTTACATTAAATTTTATCATGGTGGTTTATACATTTTAAATGAGTAATATATTTTCAGACCAAATATTACGGAAAACACCGGAACTGCATCAGCACCGGAACCCGAAAATCTAGTGGTAGGGACTAACAATCTAGCATGGTCAGTTAACTTTAATAAAATAATTTTTAGATTACTTGCGTAAGTTGCGAGGGCAGTGCTGAATTCAACCCGGATATTGGGTTTGCCTACTGTTCCCCATGTGGCTATGCTTTCTGTACGAACTGTGGGAATGCCTTTCATGGGGGACTGGACTGTCACGGACCGGCCGTTCCCCTACTCAACACAGACCTTATTGTTAGGGAAATGGAGGCTAGAGTTGAAAACGTGAGATCCCAACGGATGGTAATAGAGAAACGGGAGGTTCGGGAACGGGAGAGACTAGTGAGTGAACCACAGGATCGAGATGTAAGGGAACGGGAGAGAGTGGAAAGGGAGCTTATCGATAATGAACGGGCCATAAGGGAAGAGGAGAGACGGGAAAGGGATCGTCTGGAAAGGGAACGACAGGAAAGGGAGGTTATGGAACGGGAGAGAGTGGAAAGGGATCGCGTTGAAAAAGATAGGATCGATAGGGAACGGGCCATAAGGGAAGAGGAGAGACGGGAAAGGGATCGTCTGGAAAGGGATCGACTGGAAAGGGAGCGTCAAATAATAGAAAATGAGAGACTGGAAAGGTTGAGACGGGAACGGGAGGCCCGGGAGTTGGAAAGTAAACAGAGACGGGAACAAAAGAAAAAGGACGACAAGGCCTCCGAAGAGTTGATTAGGAATTCTTGCAAAAGATGTCCTGGATGCAAAAATTACATCGAGGTAATTGATTATGTTACTTTAATTATAGCTACTTAATATGTTACATTTTGTTAAATTAGCAAGATACACGTGGCTGCAATCACATGACATGCTCAAGGTGCAAAATGGAATTTTGTTGGGTGTGCATGTACAAAATTAAATCACAAAGTGACCTTGAGAGGCACTATACTAGATGCACTTTGTTCAAGTATCAAGTTGATTAATGAATTTATTTTTAAAAACTATAATGTTTATTTTTAAAAACTATAATTTTATTTTTAAAAACTATAATGTTTATTTTTATTAAAATTTTGAATACTATAAAAACTTGAATGCTAGTAAATTTCTATAATGTTAACTTAATACAATTTAATAAATTTAATCTGAATTAATTGTTAAATTATTTTCTAATACATATTGTACATAAATTTTTAAATATTTATTTTATCATTGTAATAGCACCGTATCTATAAAATAGATTCAATATCACCAAACCTATCCGTTCAGTCTGTATTTTAATCAAGGTCTCCATTTGATTCATGACTGACAACAATATGATTTTAATTTAAGTAATATTTTTTATTTAAGAATTTAGTTTCTTTCAAAATTTAATTTTTATTGTTTAGGGATATAATATCTGATTTGATCTTGTTTATTTCTTGAGTTAGTTGCTTAAACTTGTCTTCAAACTTGCATTTCAACGTGGTGACCAATTTTAAATTGTTCTCGGTAGTTTGACTAAAATTTTGTTTAACTTGTCTATCATTGTAATGTTTAGTTAAATCTGTAAAAGAAAATATATATTTAATTCACATACTTAAAATATAATTAATTATTACCCTGATGGTTAAATTTAGGTTTAAAAATATCCTCCAACAATTGGGTTTCAGGGTTGGCAACTACATTATAATTATCCCGACCATTATAATAAAGTAGTATGGGTTGACCCATTTTATAGGTCCACTATCATTCGTAAATGATTTTGAATAAACGGTCTTTCGTGACCCTCACTAGTATTACCTACTAAACATTTTGGACCTTGGTTGTCTAATTCGGTCTCACAATTGCATACAGCCCTCTCATTACATGTCCTTTTAATTTTGTAGTGCTTTCCAGTGGACCTAATAATATTATCATGATATTATAATTTACATTATAACACAATAGATAGACAATTAGTTCATTGATAATATTAAAGTATTGCAAATATAATTCATTTAAAGTATTAAAAATTATAATATTTACAAAGATACGTTATCATCATCATTGTTATTAGCAAGTTCGCAATCAATTTCATTATGATGTGGTTTACTGCAATTAGTACAAAATACAAGGCAACATTTTGGACATGTAGCATGGTCAATATCTAAAATAGCTAGGCTCTTACAATTATTGCGTGGGCAATAATACTTTATAACCAAATAAAAAAAATCATTTTAATAAAGAATAAATAGTAATATATAGTTATAAAGTATTTTATAATTTTATTAACAATGATCCTTGCTAAAAACATTCACCACATCCGGCATTTCCCTAACGGCCGCCACAAGTAGTAAGTACTCATATCGTGCGTACAACTCATCGGAAATTATACACTTAATTAGCTCTTGCTGAATTATAACCTGGCACTCCCTACCAGGGCACTGAATTTCCTCCCGGTGCTACAAATTATCAAAATATTTTTAATTTTTATATGATAGAGAATTACATTCTCTACGTTTTCCATATCATAACTTTTCTATACACTTATTTATTAATTTTCTATAATTACTTAAAGAAGTTATTTGTTTACGTACTCGGCCTCCCTGTGCTCTAACCATTAAGTTTGGATATAAACAGTTGAGACCATGTATTTGTAGAATTTTACGCTCTTTCAAATGGTGTTCTCAGAATCACTCTAGGATTTATAGTTTTTGAGCAAGAGCATAAAACTTAAAAGCTACCAGCCCCTTTCAAATAGGTGTCTGTCCATTGATGTACATAAAGACAATGAAAATATGAAAAAGTATATGAATTTGTGCAAAAAATGTCCTGGTTGCAAAAGTCCTATCGAGGTAATTTATTATGCTGCTTTAATTATACGTCTTGTATTTAAATGTGATATTTTGTTACATTAGAAAGATGCAAGTGGATGCAATCACATGACATGCTCAAGGTGTAAAACGGAATTTTGTTGGCTGTGCATGCACAAAATTGAATCTAAGTAGGGAACATCGAGGCACAAATCTCGATTGAGTGGTTTTAATTGTTATGATTAGATAACCAGTAACACAATTAACATTTTAAATTGACTAAACTTGGCGAATCAAGTAAATTAGCTTGCTAAATTTACGTTTAACTATCTCTGACATCCTCATTTTGTCATTGATATAACATACGTTTTATGGATTGTACATAAGTTGAATTGTGTAATTGTATGAGACTGCTTTATGCCATTAAACAAAAGATAATTTTAGCAATAATTATCGATATACTATATAAGTATATCGATAATTATTGCTAAAATTATCTTTTGTTTAATGGCATAAAGC